GCAACATGTCACATTATTATTATTATTATTATTATTATTATTATTATTATTATTGCTCTACATCCCCATCGGGGCCTTGGCCGCTTTTTCAGCTTCTTCATCGTATATATGGTCGGTAGGGGTCGGAAGGGGTCGATAGGACTCCTGGAACGGGAGATCAGCCCGTCGCAAGACCGCTATTTACACACAGAATAAACGCACACAATACAGACATCCATGACTTGAATGGGATTCGAACCCAGGAGCCCAGCTTCCGAGCGAGCGAAGACAGTTTATACCTCAGACGGCGCGGCCACTGTGATCAGCATCTTGTAAACTGACGAGATAAGAAGCACGGATGGCGAACATTTTCTTTATTTTCTTTTTTAAAATTTTGGACATAAAAATTATAAATTGAATTATTCTTGACTTAATAAGCGATGTTTTCTCAACTGCATGAGTTCTGTGACGTAGAATGCGACGATGACTTCTGGATGATGAATTCGAAGGATGAGGTATAAAGGGTCTGGCATATTTTAATGTACTTTCCTGAACATACTGAGGAAAACCATTAAAACCACATTCAATATAGGAGATTTATGGATCCAGATTCGAACCTAGAACCTAAGACTGTCTGATCTTCAATTCTGTAGATGGAGACAGTACGTTCCTATGAAACGTCGGCAAACTTCTATCAAACTACACAGCGTCGCATCTGAGAAGATAAAACTTCAGATCTCTAATTATGATGAGCTGCTTGCTCGTAGGCATACAGAAAACTTGTAGCTGCCATAGTTGCGTATCAAGGGCAATAATTAGATCTGAGGTTCTCATAGTTGTGGTTACAGAGACCGACAACTTCAAGACCAACATTTTGTTTGCAAAATACGCCTTAGAAAAATGTGCGTGTTCCACTGCAGTAGATGTCTTTACTTTCGTCACTGAGTTGACCAAACGAAGTTTTATATGGACTTGAGACCACAGGACACAAAACTGTTTTGCCTCATCCTCTCCTATCGATTTTCTTCCCATTTCGGTTTCACGGGAAGAAATATACTCACACTGACAGTTTTCCCTTTCGAAATGAAATCCAATCCACCCAACAAAAAAAGGCTTCGGACAAGATACGGATTGCCGAATAGGCCAATGAAAAACGAAAATTCACTACTAGAATGGCATAAGGATGTGGTTTCGAACGTTGTCATGAAAAATGTTACGAAGACAACCATGATAATGTAATGATACAAGAGCATGTGAACATTAACATGTAATCACATTTCTATCTGTCTGTCTACCATTGGGTCTACAGCCCTTGCGGGTCTTGGCCGATTTTTCAGTTTCTTAATCTAGACACAGACGGTAGGACTCCTTGGACAGGGGATCAGCCCGTCGCAAAGCCGCTACCTACACACAGAATAAAGGCACATTGGCATCCATGCCTCGAATGGGATTCGAACCCACGATCCCAGTGTCCGAGCGGGCGAAGAAAGTTCATGCCTTAGACCGCGCGGCCTGTGTGATCGGCGTAATCATATTTAGTCACAAATAAATCCACAGAAACCTTATGTAAAGTTACGGCCTGTTACAGGGATAGATTTACATTTTACCTACACTAAACTAACCTAATCCTTACCTAATCCTATGTCAACCGATCCACTACAAAGCAACACATGGAGTGCTTAATATTACTTGACTGAACAGTCTCATGTATGAACGCAAGCGCAGACATAACAGGAGGAACAAAATATAAGTCAACAAACTCTTTACCGTCGCAGCCCAGAATGCTTTGTCGAATATGGCTACATTTCTGAATAGGACGGAGAAACCGGTTCTATATAAAAGTAAAAATCGACATGTATACCGAAGTGATCATGTGATGTGCTGCAAAAATACGAGTAATGATGATGAAACTGGCAGGAGCTCCTGTTCCTGTGGCATACGGAAGTCGAAGGAAGATTACATTCAGTTTGAAGGCTCATAATTACACGCTGACTTCGTGTATGTTAACCTGCCACAACTACATAACGAGTTGCAACGGAAACCCATCCGAGCAGGTTGGCGTGAACGGCAATGTTTCAGAAATGCACTCCGGAGACCAGGGGTTCGAATTTCAGCCTGGATATTGGCTATCCCGACTGATGTTTTCATGGTTTTACTCAATTCCTCTGTGCAATTGCCGGTATAATGCATTATTTTTGGTCAAAAGAGTTTCTTTAGCACTCTGTCCAATTCATTGTTCAGTGTCAATAATCATTCGACGCCATAGAGTGGGAGTTACTTACAGATTGAAGCGGCCTCCGTAGTCTAGAGGTAACGTTCCCACTTCATGACTCGTGGTACGCGGGTTCAAACCCGGCGGAGGTCGTGGAATTTTTAAGGGCGGAAAATTTCAGGGAACAAGTCTTCAGGGAGGGACTTTAAGCCGTGTGTCTCGTGTCGTAGCTTTACGGCACGTAAAAGAACTTCAGATCTCCAAAGGAGGTCACTGAGCCAAATTCAAGGACGTTTCCCGCCCAACAATAGTCTCTAACGCCTCTGATAGAGGGGGGAAGCATTATAGATACCGCCAAGCAAGTAGAGGCCGAACTCGCTTGCTCGGTCGGGACTGATGGTACACACCAATATCGGTAGGGTACAGAGACTGGTAGAATATCATAGAGGGAAGCACAATAGAACAAACTGGTCGCGGTGCATGGGGAAACCCACCCTCTCCAATAACTAACTAACTACTTACAGAGTGGGCCGCGCCATAGCTCAAGCGGTTAGTCGCTGGCTTCCACCGCGGCGGCCCGAGTTCCATCACGGGTCTGATCAAGTGGATTTGTGGTGAACAAAGTGGCGCTGGGGCAGGTTTTCTCCGAGTACTTCGGCTTCCCCTGCCAATCTTCATTCCACCACTTGCTCCACAATCACCATCACCTATTATCTGGGGCTGGTACAAGAGGCCAGAAATGGCCGCAGTACAAGGGGCTTAGTCACACCCCACTAGTAATAAAAAAATACTTACAGGGTCGTTACAAAGTTACAAACAATATTAACATATAGCAACTAATACACTGTCGTGTATCATAAACAATATTTAGAGGAACTTCGCGGTTGAGAATGCAGAAGTGCATGCACAGGAGGAGTAGAAAAAGTAGGAAGAGCCTTTACCGTCACAGATGTTTCGGGATCGAGTTCTATTAGTTTGTCAAATAAGTTTTAGAATAAGATGGAGAAACCGGATCATATATATATGTAAATCGACTCCGACGCGTAACCCGCCGATATCCACATCGATGTTGGCTCAGATGTCGGCGCTGTGGTACGTTGCATGTCACTAGCAGGAGCTTACGTATTGCTGATATGTGAAAAAAAAGTCTAATCAATTTAAGGCCACAATATCCCTCACTTCATAACTATAATTTATACAAAGTGGCAGGCACTTCCGGCGCACGCGGTAGCGTAGCTGGTTAAGGCAGGAAGGTCACGGGTTCGATTCCTGATGATGTCATTGTATTTTTTCAATTGACCTAATCCTTCCAGCCGCACTTTTGCCCTGGAATCGACTCAGCCTCTAACAGAAATGAGTACCAGGAATCTTCCTGGGGGTAAAGGCAGCCGGTGCGAAAGGCTGACAACCTCACCGCCATCAGTGAACCGATTGTCTAGAAGATGTGGGAACCTCGATTTCTCACAACCTTACGGGCCTCCACGGCCTGTTACAGAGGTAGCTTTTACCTTATACAGGCACTTCCACCAAACGCAACACACCTACCTAATCCCAGTCCAATATGTAGGTCATAGGAATTTCGACTTATATGTGATCACATTCAAAGACCTTGTTTTCAGAATATTTTGCAATGAATGCCATACCCTCTTGAACAGAATTTAACATGTTCAAAGATGTAACACTTGCAATATTCGCGCCTTAGCATATGTAGAGTATCATGCGTGGCCGATTTCAAGCCGAAACGTGAAATTATTTGAAAATTTTTGTGTCCGATCCCGTCCACAAGCATTAGTACTACCACGCTCCATTAACCGGAAATTCTGACGAGTCGTTTGGTACGTTTCGGTTTTTAGATAACCTCATCTTACACCTGCTGAAACAACATAGAAGAATATCATCTTACTAGAACTGCAACAGTTGGTTCGTTGTCGATTAAGCTTTGCTTCGTCCTGTTTTGAGTCGGTGCTTGCGAAAAATGATCACACTGCTTAAATACTCATTAAATCATCTGGGTATTTTTCTCGTGGCACTCAATGCATCGTAAAGAATTTGTTCTAAAAATATCTCGCGGTTCTTAAGTTTTCTGTTACAAAAGAGATAATAAAAATTTCGGAATGTTATTTCGCTCTGGCTCGAATCGATTGGATTCTCTCGACGTAGAGCGACGGCTCCTTTTTTTTTTAATTATCATAGTGGGGGGTGGAGTCCAGCTGGGTCCACTCCGCACATCGGCCACTGATTGGCCTATTGTACCTGTCCCGAGTGATTATGTTAATGGATAATTTGGAGGAATGAAGATTGGCAGAGGAAACCGAAGTATTCGGAGAAAACCTGCCCCAGCGGAACTTTGTCCACCACAAAATCCACTTGACCAGATCCGGGCTCGAACCCTGGCCGACGCGGTGGGAAACCAGCGACTAACCGCTTGAGCTATGGCGCGGACGTGCTGGCTCTTAGAGCTCTTAGAGCGTGCTCTAGCATAGCCCTCCAGACGTAGATGAAAGGAGAATGCAATACAAATGTGGAAATTTGCTATACATGAATATATGTTTGTTTCAGATATAGCGGAAAGATCCGAACAGCCTGTATACTGGTGTGGCCAGACGGACAACCCTTGATTTCCACGTTGGACTATGTGTAAGTGAGAGCAGAATGTAAAGGATTTTAAAAATAATGCCTGCCTCAAGAAACAGCGTTGTCACCCATGTTCAGAGACATGGCATGCAGCTGTGGCATGAGAGGGGTGGGACACGACTTCCACGTTTCTTTACGTAAACAAGGAGTCCAGACCGGCTGTGGGGCCCATCCATTCCAGTCCAGTCACATCCAGTGGGTACCAGGGGCTCTCTCCTCGGGAATATAGCGGCAGGTGTGTGAAGCTGACCATTCACCTCCACCTAATGTCGATGTCAAGAACGATGGAGTCATACCTCCACTCCCCATACGTCTTCATGGCTTGGTGTTTAGTTAATTAAGCACAAGGATACATTTACTTTATCATTACGGCTGTAGAGCCCTTTGTTGGGCCTTGGCCTCTTCTTCAGTTTCATAATTATTTACAGTCAGTAGGACTCCTTGGACGAGTGACCAGCCCGTCGCAAGACCCCCTATCTATACATAGGAAAACACAAACAGAATAAACGCACACAGACATCCATGCCTCGAGTGGGATTCGAACCCAAGATCCTAGTGTTCGAGCAGGCGAAGACAGTTCATGCCCTAGATTGCGCGGCCACTCTGATCGGCCTTTATCAGTATTGCAAACTATTAAACTGATGTGAGCTAAAATAGGCGCTACAGAGGAAATGTAACCTTCCCAAATAAATCGATTTAGTTAAGAAATGAAACATCAGCATAGAAACTCTGGGGTCTGGTATGCATATACGTGTAGAATAAGAGGCCGCAGTAAAACCATGACTACAGCATCGCCAGATAAGTCTTTGTGTTCACGGCTGAGGTTGGTGCACATGTCTCCGAAACAGGAAAACTAAGGACGTTTCAGCGGTATAAGAATGTTTTAAGCAGCCGGTTGTATTCCTTCTGTTAAAGGTCTTGCAGCTTAATATTGCCCGCTGACGGGCCCAGAAAGTGTGCATAGACATGTTGAAATGCGTGGGATCTACATAAAGCATCTTCTGTGGAGGTCACAAGAACTTCGCCCTTATCTCATCAGGAATTGGTTTCTAGATTTTATTATGGCGTATTTGCTTAAAGCAAGTACTGTGCAGGCAGAGAAACAGCCGGTGCTAGGTAATGGCCCGTACACACGCAACAGAGGAACGCATCACGTATGCTGTGATGTCACGCAACAATAGAAGAGGTGTTGCAAGAGGCGTTCTCTATATTTCCGCGCCACCCTCGTTACTGCGCAACTGGGCGGTAAACACATCTTTACAGCAGAGAATTCAGTTGAGTTCCGGTGTTGGCAATTGCAGCAAAGAATTAGAATTGAGGGAGTCAGGAGTGAGCAGTCGAGCGTTGAGCTCTGCGAAGATAATTCTGAATTCTAAAGAGATGCTAACGAGACAGTTGGCAATTGTAACAGAGAATTGAGGGAGTTTCCGGAGTTTGCAGTTGGCAGAATAATTTAGAAGAAATGGCAAAAAAAGGAATTAGGTTGTACAAATAAGATTTCATAATGTGCTGAAGTGACAGTGAGACTGTCATAAATCCGTTGCCAGAATACGACTAGTGAAGACTGAGGACACTTGTGTGTGTGTGCAACAGTGGACTGTAAATTGTGTAGATCAGCGATAGTGCTGTATTACCTATAATTCTGATTGGTGTGTATAAGGTGTCAATAAATCCAATCATCCAATCCAAAACCTCTCTACACGTGACTGGGATTCTTTTACACGTTACATAAGTTATGAACACCTTTAAAGCATGCAGCCATTTTTTAACACCCTGTGTATGAATATATGCATAACTAAGAGACAGACTTGCCGAGTTTCAGTTTTGTTTCCTCACCAACATAACGTCTTTATTTTTTCATGGAACTGATTAAAAGAGACTGTAACTCCCACGTAGCGTAAGCGAGGAACCTAATATATTAAAAGAACATGGCGCATTTTATTTTTCGAAGAACTCATATAAAATGGGGTATTTTTTTTCATTTCCTTTTGATTTCTACATTTCTATCAAAATTCTATTTTACAAAAATTACATTCGAAGAAAATTGAAATGACTCCCAACGCCAAGTTTCATCAAGTTCCGTCAAGTGGCTCTGAGATTCAATCACCGAGTAAGCTAACTTTCATTCGGAAGGCGACCGGTTCGAATCTCGGCCAGCATACCGACTATGCTGGACTGATATTTCTCTTGGTTTCCTCACGACCTCTAAGAAAATGCTCGTACCTTAAACTAGTACACGATCAGTTCCTTCCACCTTTTTCCAACTCGTCATTCACTATCATCTAACTATTCAACGAATCACCGATAACGTAGGGAAGTGAACTATAAATAAATAAATAAATCTACGATGTACCACGCTGGTAGATGGACAAAAAGATAGCCACATCTCATCATACTATGCATAGCAATTGAATGTTTGAAGTACCTCCAGCCAGCTGATTGGTGCTTCAGTTCGTGTTTCACGTACATGGAGCCAATTTACTCTATTCTCAGGATAAAAAAAGAGAGTCAACCAAAAGCTATGAGCCAAAGAAGGAAATTTTCTCTACTGAAGTACATTCGTACGACAACGGTAGGGAAAATATTAAAGTTTACACCTCTTCTGTTCATGGTTTGATAGCTTACCTTGTCACTACGGGTGAAAAGTTTCTCAGTTATTCTTTTAAACCGCTTGGTGAGGATAAGAGATGATATTAAAAAGCATCTATGCCAGTGGATGCCTGTAACTTCTTTACTTAGTTGGTTATTTAATGACCATGCAGTATCGGATGAGAGAATGATTGATGAACAGTGAATTCAAAGGGATTTGGAATGAAACTGGTTTGAACTAATCACGGTACCCTTCCCAAATTTGATGACGGTGACTGAGGAACACCTAGAAAATTCTCAATCAGAATATCCGATGTCGCTGCTGAGATTCGAACTGACCACCTCCAGAATAAAAGTCTAGTTTCCTACAGCTATACCACCCTTTTATGCCAGTCACGGTAGCCGAGCGGTCTAAGGCATGTACTGTCTTCGCTCGCTCGGAAACCGAGATCGTGGGTTCGAATCCCACTCAGGGCATGGATGTTTGTGTGCGTTTTTCTGTGTCTGTCTACAGGTAGAGGCCTTGCGACGAGCTGATCACTCGCCCAAGGAGTCCTACCGAATGTGTAAGATCTAGTGAACCGAAGTGAAACGGAGAGTTTCATGGAGGTAGACCCAGGCCCAAATTGGGGCTGTAGCGCCACAGGAAAAAAAAATACCACGATTTTATGGGAACGCTTGTAAGAAGCAGATATTTTAGAAGGAATTAATTAATGAACTAGCACTGAAAAATTAGAAGACTTTATTAAGTATTAGGCGTCTTTCGCATAAGTGTTATGAAATATATTAGCCATGTCACATTCGCCTGTCTGTCCGTCCGCATCAGTGACGTAGTTGAACGTACGTTACAGAATCTGTTCCTCCGATCTGATTCCTAATATTCCAAGTAGCAGATATCCAAGGCTCTTTCCTGTCAAAGTTTGTTACGCGAGTAGTTACATGTTCATTTTTTTCCCCTTGGCACTACAGCCCCAGTGGGCTTAGGCCTACCTCCATGGAATTCTCCGTTCACTTCGGTTTTTCTAGATCTTACACATTCGGTAGGACTCCTTGAGCGGGTTATCAGCTCGTCGCAAGGCCTATACCTGTACACAAACACAGAAAAAAGCACACAAACATCCATACCCTCAGTAGGATTCGAGCGAAGGCAGTGCATGCCTTAGACCGCTCGGCTACCCTGACCGGCCAGTTACATGCTCATACGTACGAGTAATAGCACCACTTCTGAAGTTGGTGCAGTGATATTGAATAAAATAATATGCAAACAATAAAGAATACCCTTTTGTGGGATGTGGCGCCGTGTAGATCTTCTGTGAACCGACGTTTCGGAGGAACATAACGCCTCCATCTTCAGACTAGAAGAAAAAAATGGAGGCGATACGCTCCTCCGAAACGTCGATTCACACAAGATATACACGCCGAAACATCTCAGAAGACGGCATTCTTCAGTCACCGCCTTGAAAACCTCAAATCTTACACAATATACAAACATTTTACCCGAGTTTTCAGGGGGCACCAAATCCTCTCTTCCGCCGGCACGGATACCAAATACGTGTAAGTGTTCACAGGTACAATGTGGTTCTGCTGCTGGCGACGTACGTGGCACCAATGGCGGCCATGGTAGCGTGCTACAGCGCCATGGGCCGTGAGTTGTGGGGCAGCCGCTCCATCGGAGAGCTGACTCAACGGCAGGTGGACTCCATCCGTTCCAAAAGGAAGGTGAGAACCCTCTTCTCGGGCTACCAGCAGTGCCACTTGGCTTACTATTACCGACGTTTCAAGGACCATCTCCGTCCCCCACCATCAGGGTCCGATGGGGACAGGGATGATTCATGAAACGTCGGTAATTTTGAAATAATTCACACGGCTGATAACCCAAAAAGACTTTGTCAGTTTTAGCGGCCGTGAAAGCTGCAAATATTAAACCTTTATATAAGGTGGATGCTAATGGCCGTGAGGTTAGTCGCCGGATTCCCACAGCGGTGGTCCGGGTTCGAGCCAAGGTCAGGTCATGTGGGATTTGTGGTGGACAAAGTGACACTAGAGCAGGTATTATCCAAGTACTTCAGTTTCCCCTGACACCGACTGCTCCACACTCAGCATCTATCATCCGGGGCTGGTACAATAGACCAAACAGTGGCCGAAGTACTAAGTAGACACAGTTTCACCCCATCATAATAAATTAATTAATTAAGGTGGATGCTATTTACAAGTGCCATGGCGTCAGTTCACCTTACGTTTATGCGGCAGGTGGTGCGCATGTTCATCATTATCGTGTCCATATTCGCCGTCTGCTGGCTGCCGTACCACGCCTATTTCATTTACACGCATCACAACCGTTCGCTCGCATACAGCAGATATGTGCAACATCTGTACTTGGGCTTCTACTGGCTCGCCATGTCCAACACCATGGTGAACCCGCTCATCTACTACTGGATGAACGCCAGGTATGAGAAGCGCCACAACGGATATGGGAGTGGAGGTGAGATAAAACAAACTCCGTGGCTTTAGTCCACAAGTGAACTATACCGACCGAGCGACCGCCGCTTGTAGGCGAAGTTAATGCCAACTTTAGCAGATAGAGGGTGTCGCGTGGTAAGCGAAACGGATCCCCACGGCCGTTAATCTCGGTTTTCTAGACCGGAGCCGCTTTTTCTTTGAAGTAGCTCCTCAATTATCCTCACGAGGCTAAGTAGACCCCGTTCCAGAACCACTACTTCTCAGAAAACCTGGCAGCGCCGGGAATCGAATCCGGGACCTCTGGATCTGTAGCCAGGAACTCTGACCACTAGACCACGGAGGTGGTCTGTGGATATGAGACTGTGACTTCAAATGCGCCCTTGTAACAGCCCATAATATGGACTTCCCTGATAGACAAATAGGGCTGCAACCGTTTTTTCCTTGATTCATTTAACTCTTTCGGAATCCTACGTTAAGTTCTTTATGAAACACATTAAGCTCCAAGAACGGGAATTCGGTTTAGAGACCGCCGTCTAGCTAATCGAAAAACATGAGTTCACAGGGCGTCTGAATGGGATTGGGTACTAGCGTGAAAGAAGGAATAGAGGTAGGAAGGTGAAATTTTGAACAAGTCACACTTAGAGTCACAGTTCACTGTCAGTGCAGATTTCTTTAGATAACAGAGGAACATTGCTATTTTAATTATTTGCGCTACTAGTCGATGTAGTGACTGCCTCTGTGGTCTAGTGGTCAGAGTTCCTGACTACAGATCCAGGGATCCGGGTTCGATTCCCGGTGCTACCAGTTTTTCTGAGAGAGTAATGGGTGTGGAAAGGAGTCCATTCAGCCTCGTGAGGAAAATTGAGGAGCTATTTCAAGGAAACAGCGGTTCCAGCCTAGAAATCCGAGATTAACAACCGTGGGGATCCGTTGCGCTGACCATGTGACACCCTCTATCCGCAAAGGTTGGCACTAACTTCGCCGACAAGCGGCGGTCGCTTGTCCGGTATAGTTCGCTTGCGAACTACAGGCCACGGAGTTTGTTTTTTTAATATTCAATGTAGTTGTTGCGAAAACTCAGACTAACTGTAATGCCAGTTGCATTGGTTGATTGAGAACAGAAGCTAATATTTTATGGTATGCATCCTATTGTGTGTCAGACAGAACAGCTACAGCACCACGGGGATATATAACATCAAATTCGAACATCCCAGTTCACGCATGAACAATCCGAGTGGGATACCCCGAACAACGTGTTCAGCCTTCACACATTTAATTTTTTTTTTCCTTGGCACTACAGCCCCAGTGGGCCTAGGCCTACCTCCCTGAACTTCTCCGTTCACTTCGGTTTTCCTAGATCATACGCATTCGGTAGGACTCCTTGGGCGAGTGATCAGTTCGTCGCAAGGCCTCTACCTGTACACAAACACAGAAAAACACACACAAACATCCATGCCCTGAGTGGGATTCGAACCCACGATCCCGGCTTCCGAGAAAGCGAAGACAGTGCATGCCTCAGACCGCTCGGCTACCGTGACCGGCTCACACATTTAATAGGAAGGGCAAAAAAAGAACGAACACGACCTATACACGTATTCTGAAAAAAAGATCCCAGCAAGCAGACAACCCGCAGCGCAATATCACTACCGTGGTGGAACAACAAACAGTACACATGGCAGGCACAAGGCTCAAATGGAATTTGTAATATTGGCTATAAATACATTGATAGCCATTTTAATTTTAATTTTAATTTTTATTCATTTAATATCAAATTTAATGCCTAGTTTTAACCATATTTGAACTGCATTTTAAAATTAATTGCCAATACAGAATAATCATACAGATAAAATATGAATTCATACTGATTAATGACGCAATTCAGAAGCTAAGTTATATTCGTGTACGCCTGAAGATGACCAAAGAAAACGGTCGAAACATGTAGCGTTACCACAAACAACTAATAAAAATAAATGTTGACACAGTAACGTCTATTTTGTTTCTTTTTGATTATTTGTTGTGCGACTGTCCCAAATTATGTATATCTGAAGCTAAGAGATTTCACTTGCGGTGATTGACCTAGTCCTGAAATATCAGATGTTCTAACAAATTAAATTAATTTTTTTTTAATTCGATTAGTGGGGGCTGGAGTCCAACTGGATCGACTCGACACGGCGGCCACTGATTGGCCTACTGTAGCTTGCCCCGGGATGCTTATGATGATGGAGAATTTGGTGGAAAGAAGATTGGCAGGGGAAATCGAAGTACTCGGAGGAAACCTGCCACAACGCCACTTTGTCAACCACAAATCCCACTTGACCACACCCGGGCTCGAACCCGGGCCGCCGCGGTGTGAAGCCAGCGACTAACCGCTTGAGCTATGGCGCGGCCGTGTTCTGACCAAAGCTGCCCATTTCATGTACAGAACTCCAGAGTCTCAACAGTACTGTGCGTACCGAACGTACATCCGGACAAATATAGACCAAGATCACAAGTGACGTGGTAAGTTTTCTCCTCGGAATAATTTAGAAGGGTTCGTGTGGAGCCAGGGGTTATTCGAAACAAGTAGTAGAGCGTGTTCATTCTAAAACAGACTTGATTCCGGTTCGATCCAAGAAAGGAATGACCGGTACACTGTCTATGAAACATAAGTGAAAGCCTGATTGGCCGGAAAAAAAAACATGCTTATGTGCCATTTCGACTACTACGAGATTGAACCAGGGTTTCCGCGTTGAGAATCCGGCGACTACACGCCTGAGCTGCGGCATTCTTAACCTTGGTTCAGCTGCAGAGCTCACATGATTTGAATAATAGGAGCTGACTATCTCCTTCATCGTCACAGGGAGCAAGTATGGGCATCGGTGCAAGAGCCAAGTTCTGTCCGTCCATCCGCGTATTTCAACTCAGGCACTACAAAAAATACGCCGAATAAATATGGATTGAATTCCTACGCTGAAAGTAGAAGGGCGACATTTATTTTGGTCTACATCTGCCCAATATATTTAATAGTTTACTTAAGAAACAGATTTAACTAGATCAGTTTTCCTCCAGACACTACCAGTCGTAAAAGCGGCTGCATGACATGATATATAAATCATACCCTTACAGCACAGAACTCCATCACAGCCCTTGTCAATATGGACACTACCAGAATTAAAATCTGCGAATGATTAACAACTTGCCATTGATTACTTTCATCGGATTCGTATTCCATGAATTAATGAGCTTATTTTGAGTGTTAAGTTCAGGAAATGTAAGTCCAATTAACAGAGCATACATGCAGCTATCGCCAATTGATTTCAAGCAAAATCTCTACACAAATTCGTACGCTGTGCAGAAACCGTCCCGGTGGGATGCGACGTAAAAACATGGTCATGAGCACAATGACTTAAGCACTACATCATGAAGGCGTATAGAGAGCTTAAAAATAAAGCTTCATGCATTCGTCTTTTATCCTTGGAGGTAAGTGATTAGTTTTGAGCTGCAGCCGTCTTTTATTTTTCAGGATATTAGCCACCGGTACCAGTAGCTAATTGTGTAGGCTCCAGATTCATTCTGAACACGGCAATGGTTAAAAGATCCTGGCAGAAATTTAGCTTCGGTCGTCCGGTTAGCACAATGCCCACCTACATAATCACTTTGTACTGAATCACAGGAAAGTGCTGCAAGTATGTATGACTAGAGGCCGCGCCATGGCTCAAGCAGTTAGTCGCTGGCTTCCCACTTCGGCGGCCCAGGTTCGATCCCGGGTCTGGTCAAGTGGGACTTGTGGTGGACAAAGTGGAGCTGGGGCAGGTTTTCTCCGAGTACTTCGGTTTCCCCTGCCAATCTTCATTCCACCAATTGCTCCACAATCACCCTCACCTATCATCTGGGGCTGGTACAATAGGCCAGAAGTGGCCGCAGTGCAATAACAAAATGTATGAATATGGACATCATGCTATTCATTTCGCCCTTTCAGATCTGTCTCCATATTTCGTAATAAAAGCAGATCTCTCTGTATTGCCATGCCCTCTGTTGCCTGCTTTCTTTGTTGATCACTTCACTTTACAGCGCTAAAGGTAAAGTCCCTGTGCTTAACTAATTAAGCACTATGCGCCATGAAGACGTATGGGGGAGTGGATGTATAGATCCACATTTTCTTGACCTCGGCACTAGCTGGAGGTGAGTGGTCAACTTCACGCCCCGGGCCGCTTTACCCCCGGGGAAAGAGCCCTCTGTACCCATTGGCTAGGAGATCCGGTGGGCTCCAAAGCCAATCTGGACGACGTGGAGAAGATAAAATTCTTGAACCTGAACTCCGACCCTTCGGCCGTCCAGCCCGTAGCCAGTCGCTATACGGACTGGCTATCCCCGCTCCTAACTTTACAGCGCTACCGATACCTAAACTATATGACGTGGAATAGTAGAATAATTAACATTATTACGTTATGTGTAACGGGCAGGTATAAGGCTGATTATGAAACAACTATACAATATTATAGGTTTATTACGCCAATCTAAAAAAAACAATACAAAGTTTCATAAAATTCCCTTCGCCCAGAAAGCCGCTGCTTCTTGCATATGTATAGACACAGAAGTTTATGAAACCTGAACAAATCAACCACCGGAGTTATGAGAGGGGTAATATTCTAAAGTCGTATTTAGGAAGTACTCTGTTCGAAGCTCGGTCGGGGCACCGAATATCCTGAGTTTTCGTGATTTTCCTCAGTCACGTTGGGCTAATTCCGTGAAAGCGCCGCGAATGGGCCATGATTCCAGCCAGTTCCTGTCTAATTCATTTTTCATGCATCAACCCACCACCGGAAGCTATAATAAGCTAAATGGTATAAAAATGGTAAAGCTAGCCCTGTAAAAGGCCGTGGAGTCCCACAGGGTTGTGAGACGTCGAGGTTCCCACATTTTCTGTTGAAAATCGGCTCACATATGGCGGTGAGGTTGTCAGACTAACGCGCCGGCCGCCCTTTAGCCACAAGAAGATTCCTGGTATTCATTTCTGTTAGAGGTTGAGTCGACCTCAATGCCAGAGCGCTAGATACTATGAGGGTTCAAAACAAGGTGAGTGTTTTTACTCGAATTTACAAGCTCCTGCGGAATATTTCTTCGCTGCTTTCCTCAGTCCTTCCCTCGCGTTACTCATACGAGCAAGCCAAACGCTTAGCAACAGGCGACATGAAATCTGCTCTCGTCCACAGGTTCCGTAGGTACTTCAAGCAAGCCGTGTGCGAATGGCACTGTACCTGCAGGAAGACGCCCGTGAACCTGAACCGGTTAGAGACGGCCCGCGTGTGTCGGCGATACAGCCCGCCGTCAGGTTTCAAATCGAAATCAGGTGAGTTCAGACATTCCACAGATGTCATGCTAAAGTTCCAAAGAACTGTTCTAGTACATAGGACAGATATTTACTTATGATATATTTATTAGCACAGTACATCTGAAGACTACGTATAGAAGATTAAAAGAAATGAAAATGCTCCATATAAATAAGCAATGTGGCTTAAAACAAATTTATTTCCAGATTACTGCCTTCCGGTATGTGACGGCCTATAATTTCGTATCCTAAACAAAACAGAAGCCGGTCACGGTAGCCGAGCGGTCTAAGGCATGCACTGTCTTCGCTCGCTCGGAAGCCGGGATCGTGGGTTCGAATCCCACTCAGGGCATTGATGTTTGTGTGCGTTTTTCTGTGTTTGTCTACAGGTAGAGGCCTTGCGACGAGCTGATCACATGCCCAAGGAGTCCTACCGAATGTGTAAGCCCACTGGGGCTGTAGTGCCAAGAAAAAAAAAACATGAACGAAAATAAAATACACGAAGGAACCAAATTATTGCCATGTGTGTGAGTGACTATTGACGGGGTTTGGATTGGTAATCGGATTTACTGACCACTTACAGATCGTAACCACAAGTAGCTATAGCACTAACGCTAATTCACGGACTCTCCACTTCGCTACAGCACGCACTAAGTCTTTCAGCCCGCTGTGTCTTCACTAGTCGTTGTTCGGTAACGGCTTCCAACGGCGGACGTTACCCTTACTCTGGATTCCCGAACTATCCCTGTGCCTCAGCTACCAACTTCTAGTAACAACAGCTCACGACTGAACTTCAGTTCTCTGACTAACTCACTAACTCACCAACCAGCTCTTCACTTTCCTACACAGCACTATAGTAAAGACACCGCTTCCCATTTAATCCATTGGTGTTTGTTAGGAATCTGTTGCCTAGCAACGGGCGTTCTTTACAGCGTCATTACTTAGCAACGGGTCTACATGCTACATAATAAATAAACAAACTAAAGTACAAACCGCACAAACAAGAAAAGTAACGTTTCAGTGCAACCTGTTGCCTATCTGCAGGCGTGTGCAGCAGGGTGCACACGCGTATCTACCATAGTACAAGGCATCACATCCCAGAGTGCAATAATCTACATAGTTGCCTTGCTGAGCTCACAAATTCGTTTCCTTCGACCATGTTGACGCAATATGCGGAGCTAACAAATCACAGTTTCTTTCTGGTTGTTATTTAACGACGCTCTCGGTGTCAAGACTATGCAACGTCGGTGGTAGGATAACAAATGAATATGTAGCAGTTGTTGGAATGAGAATTGTCAAGGGAAATGGAAGTACTCGGAGAAAGCCTGCCCCAGTGCCATTTTGTTCACCAGAAAACCACACGAACCAGGCCGCAACGGTGGGGACCGGCGACTGACAGACTGAGGTACAAATCACAAATTTTATACTCATTCTCGTAGAGTATATAGGTTACCCATAATTGCAGTTGTGCCAACTGTCTCAGACTTCCAGTGGTGTTCGCCTATGCTTTCTTCAAGGAGACATCTATACTGTGCAATGAAAGCGAATGCGTATTCCACTTTACAGTATAATTATTCCAAACGTCTTCTAGTGTGTATCTTAACCATCTTGGTGCTGATTTACGTACACCGGAAGCCGAGGTGCGACGGTAATCATATTACAGACATTATCACGCTGCATGGTCAGAAAATACTTCTCTTCGCATTTTGTTAAATATTCACCGAATCAAAAATTGTTTAAAATTAGAGTTGTTGCTACATTTCATGTCATGTAAAATATCTTATAAGGAAGCCGGGATAGCTCACAGCGTAGTCGGTATAGCGAGTGGCTACGGACTCGGCGGCCAAGGGATCGGAGTTCAAGTCTCGGTAGAGTCAAGAATTTTCCTTTCTCCACGACGTCTAGACAGGTTCTGGGACCCAGCCAGTCTCCTATCCAATGGGTACAGGGAGCGGTCTCCCCGGGAGTAAAGAGGCAGAGGTCGTGGCGATCCGTTGCACTGACCACGCAACGCCCTCTATCCGCTAAAGTTGGCATTAACTTCGCCGAAAAGCGGCGGTCGCTTGGTCGGTATAGTCGTTTGCGGACTACAGGCCAAGGAGTGTTTGTTTCTGTAAAAGGAATCTATTCTGAGAAAATCATATAATTTTAAATATGACCTTTGTATAAATTACGTATATGCAATGACTATTATTATTATTATTATTATTTGTATTTACGAATTCAATGTGTGAACTGTGTAGGGACGAATGTCGGGATGATTAATGAATTTAAAATATTTGGAAGGAAACGGTCATGTTCTAACCGAGGTAGCATCCCGGATTTTGTCTGACAGATCTGAAGAAAACCCCGAATATCTCAGTCAGGATAGACGAAATTCAAATCGATCGCTTCCCGAATATAAGCCTAGAGCGTTCGCTATACCAAGCCGGGTCGCACTGACACTTTTACTGAAGGTCCCTGTGTCAAATCTAATTAGACTGGTTTAAGTAATAGCGAGAGTGAAATTGCAGCAGACAGGGTCCCGTTATAACTACATTAATAACTGCCTTATCTACAAGTATTGTTATCATGAAAGGCTTACGTATAATATGCTTTGAGTGAAAAAACTTTAGCTAAGCTGTTCTTTGTGCAATTGTTTTGTCAGGATTTAAATTTTGTACGGGAGTGAGTCAAGACAAGAGGAAGCCATGCTGCTTCCACACAATCACAGGCAGACAACCATCGCTGTGTAACGTTACTTTCCCGCGCTGAGTTACAACAATAACCCGCCGAGTAATCGAATTGAACGCTTTTGCTGTCCGTAAAATGGTGCAAGTGGAATTTGCAGAATTGGATTAACATCCTTCAAACTAAATTACCGGACTGAAATACTCGCAAGCATATTGGTTCGATTCCGGATTGAGTCGAGAGTGATGTGGTACACGCGAACTGAAATGGCTATCTCCCACCAAACCTGGGTCAATTCTTCATGGAACCAAGTGACTTTTATAACGCCCCCATAAATAAAGTCCTACACTTCATTCGAAGTGTAAGATTAATAAAGGGTTAATCCAAAGGGGAAGCACAATTGATCATTGAAGGTCGCAGTGCGAGGGCCGGTTTCTATGGCTCACCCCTCATACTAATCTTCCACCAAAAGAGCTGGCTATAACTGCGTATATGCTGCCACGTTTAGTCACGAAGAAGCGCCGTGTTCTGTACTGTGAAACTGACTCGGCATAGTACAGTCTCAGTTCAGAAGCCGACTGTTATTCAGTTGCACCATAAATATTCTTCCGTTCGAATGTTCATCACCGCCATCACAAGAACCAAAAACTCGACCCTATCCTCGAGCAGTTAAATTCGTTTCTCACAGTCTAGTCGCTTGACTTTATTAAAAAAATTTCCAGTTGATCCTCCATTCTTAATTCTCGGCTGTCTAGAGAAATGTCAACATTACATTCCCTGAATAACTTGTCTTTTCAGGAACAGCAGAGGAGTGTGTGCTGAACGGTCGAAAAAATACGGTGACATCTCAACCATGTCATTGCTCGGACAGGCACCAGCATGCCCGCACTCACCCTCAGGTCCAGTACCGACAGAATTATGGGTGCAATTCTTGCTGCTCTGGTACTACTGTCACTCTTCCTCTACATCGCTGTCGGAGTAACCTGAGCACACGGAAGTTCGTGACAATTGCAGAACTTTAGCCAGGATGTCTGAGAGGGGCGGTTCTTGCGTACAGACACAAAAGTTCCAGGATTAACGTCGAAAGGGTGTTCTTCTGTTACAGCACTGTGCACTCATACATTGGCCAGAAGTTAGAATTGGAGTTGTTTAACATCTAAGCCTTAATGACAAGTGTCGACGATTGCCTTGGATAGCTGAATCTGGCCACACTTTGTATACAGTCACTACTGAATACAACGTCTTTATATCGTTATAAGGATATAATTTTAATTTCAGTGTACTGGTGTACTGTACACTACACACATCTGTTCACATATTGTTTACTGGAAACTGTTAGATTCTACATAAAACCATGAAAGTACATATAGATTTCTTTACATTACGTTTAAGGACAAAGGAACTGGACGACAGATTGCAGTAACCGCTGTACCTCTTATAACGAGATAATTTACTCTGTACTGTCCTCCTGTAACTAGACTAGAGTACATATGGGGCAATATGGTTCAACTTCAATGATAAACATGTAACTGAAATCATCCGGTCAGCCAAAGGTTCACGGGTCGGCCGTGGTTCGTATTCTGACGTATACACATTGATCATTGGCCTCTAAATAGAATGGTTAAATTCCATTAAAGACCCATCAGATTAATTATAATACAAAACAAAACTAACTCTGTGGTTTTAGTCCGCAAGCGAACTATACCGACCGAGTGACCTCTGCTGGTCGACGAAGTTAGTGCCAACTTCAGCTGATAGAGGGTGTCGCGTGGTAAGCGCAACGAATTCCCATGGCCGTTAATATCGGTTTTCTAGACCAGAGCCGCTACTTTTCTATTCATGTAGCTCCTCAGTTATCCTCACAAGGCTGACACACTACTTCTCAGAAAATCTGGTAGTGCCGGGAATCGAACCCGGACCTCTGGATCTGTAGCCAAGAACTCTTGACTACTACACCACAGAGGCGGCCAATTAATTATAATAACAGTTAATTTAGGAAACTGTAGTAACGCATTCCTGTGTATGAAGTGGTAGAAAGTTCACCATTCGTTATGTAGGAAGGATTTGTAATTCAGTTAGACCCTGACGCTGCAGACTGGAGGACACAGATCTCACTCAAGAACCAACCAAGGATGTCGGTTTGCATAAGTTGTAAAGGAATAAACCACAACTTCGATCAGTAATACTACAAAATAAAGTCATTTGTTATGATAAGTGTTTTATGAAACCTGTTCATTGAGTGTACAAAAGGACTTTATTCTTCTAATTAAAGTATCCATGTAAATAAAATTAATTATATGTCATCAATCTTGTTGTTAGTTATTATAGCAACGAACATATCCTAGTTTCCTTGAGCTTCTCCACAGAATTACATGCCCGAACTCTGTGCATGTCTTACTTCGGCTGACCCAAAAATCATAATACACAGTTCCTCATAATTAGAGCTAGGATTCTTATATAAACACACATTTTATTTCTTACTATTTACATGCTCAAAAAGTAATAATCTCCAAAAACTGCAGCACTAGCATTGCTACAGCCGAATCTTATCTACGACCTTTCACATATTTTGGCATTTCCTACATATTTCTCGGCACGTTACATAAAACTGGATATTTCGTGATATTTCTCTTTACTTGCATTTTAAACTGGAAGGTGTCTACATTTCTTGTGTGTATTTTGGTTAAATACCCTATTAATTGTCTCCTCTACCCTTTCAAAAGACTTTTTCTGCGACGCAGAAATCTGGAAGGAAATATCTCTCTTGCGAAGCAAAGTACACTACAACTCACAAGTAATTCCACTCATTAGCGTGACCTGTGCGTTGGGGATTTTTCTAAGGATTCGAAAGGTTTTCTTTGTATTGCAGTTAAAATCCCCTGCCCTATCACCAAAGATACTCGTACACCCTTAACAACCTGCGTTTTTGTCCTGAAATTTTTGAAAGTGATTTTAGTTTTGTATGAGCAGTTCAATGAGTTAAGTTCAAATTTGAGAGTCGATGCCATCATGGCACTGGTTGCATCCTCTCTGGCGTCAAAGTTACATTTGTGGGTAAAAATAGACGATTCCTTCAGTATTCGTAATATATCTGGCTTGCAGCAAAATTACTGGGTGTTCCATGAAATCAGATTTGGAGCAACATGTATGAAACACACTATATACAAAGAACAAGCAACTGAGTTCTTCAAAGAAGCAAGTGCTTTAAACAGAGATGCAGCAGTCTTTGACCTCACTAAACGAATTCTTCAAGGATATATGCAACTGAATGGTGGCCATGAATGTCCTCTGGTTTAAACTCCTAATGCTTGAATTTTGATCCTTTTTGGAAAAGTACTGCAAGCAACAAATTCCAGACCAGTCAACACTTCAAAAACATTATCTGTCTTAGCGTCAATTTTTTTAGCCCTTTCAGAAGTGAACAGACATACTGAAGAGAAGTACGGAGACCTATTCTCATACGTTAGGAACATACATTCACAACTGATGACAATATAAATAGATACTGATGGTCCCAGGCCTCTATTACTTGTCATTCATTACATTTGTGATAATGGGCAACGACCCTGAAACAATGAAATGACAATTGCTAGGCAACACATTCTTAATAAGCAACAGCCATTATCAAGTTACACCTTCGCAAACCATATGTACTGGAGTACAACACTGAACGGTGTCTTCTACATGGTCCATGCTGAGAAGTTATTAAAAAAAGGCAAGGCTATCCTTGTAACAGGCCATGGAGGCCCATAGTTTGAGAGATGTCGAAGCTCCCACATTTCCTAGACAATCGGCTCATAGATGGCAGTGAGGTAGTCAGCCTTACACACCGGCCATCCTTTAGCCCCAAGTAGATTCCTAGTACTCATTTTGTTAGAGGCTGAGTCGACCCCAGGGATATAGTGCAGCTGGAAGGATTAGGTCAGTTCGAAAACCAAATTACTTCATTGGGAATCAAACCTGCTACCTTTCGGCCTGTAGAATAGTGCCTCAACCAACTATACTTTGCATATCTAGAGACTGGAAGAGTAAAATGCACTCCACTCCCCGAGTAAATTTATCAAATTGTTAAAATTTGCTTTTAGGACATATGGAAAGACATAGGCCTGACCGAATTTGAAGCACACCTAATTTTCATGTGCTTCCTTGAGGTGTTTGCATAGCTCTAGTTGTTCATTTATAGCAGGCAGCCAATAAAACAAAGGTTGTAAAAATGATGGCGCTAGAGATACCCCATTACACAGTAAAAATGTTTTCCTCATATTTTGTTAAATATTCAGCATATAGAAACATGCTTCAAATATAATTTGCTGACACTGTGTCTCTTATGTGCCGAATTTCTGTACGATCAACCATCTGTCCAAAACTTCAGTTTGAGTTTCAAGTAGATCAATATTGAAATTACCCAGTATTTTTTGAAGATGACTAATACCTCATTTAATCTAAACCCTTTCAGTAGTGTCCAAGATTAAACATAAGGAGAGATACAAAGTTGCATCATAACCAACCAACTTCACGAACAATTTAATCTATATTACAGATAAATTACCCAATTTCATCACTAAACAGTACTGTACCTTTCAATTCACTTCCTAGTGCAGGAAAATTTCACAACCAGTTTGAGAAATTCTTAGTTATTAAGAAACTCAAGAAGTTTCATTACAAATGAGCATCCCTGGACTCAGTTCACATCATCACAACCTGCTTACCTAACATCCATTTTAAACTTATCCTTCAGTCTACGTATCAGTTCTTTCAAGTGGCATGTTTCCATGTTGTTTCCTCCACAATAATCTGTTCCTTTCATGTGTGCCATATTTTCAGACCACTGTCTTCACTATGCTTTGACTGAAATACCCTTGAAAATCTGTAAGGAGAGTAGAAATTATGAAGGTCCCTGTTATGAAATTTTCTCCATTTTCCTGTCAGTTCATCCCTCTTAGAACCAAATATTCTCCTCTGTACATTACTTTCAAATACCTTCTATATTTATTCACAATAAAGCACAGCTTTGCAGTCATATAAAACAATGAATTAACTTGGCATTATATCTCGGACGATATAACTCTACTGTCTGAACCACAAATCCTACATATTGGTCAGACTGCTTGCAGAGGGCAATGATGGCAGAGGAGCATCATGGAAAGGATAAGTGGATGGAAATGTATGAAGATCAGAAACAATGGAATCAATAAGTGATAATATATTGATTCAAGATGAAAATAAAACACAGGGATTATCAACTTTTATTTTTTATAACAGCATAGCAATGTATCATATCACTTCTGTAACATTCAATATTGTTAGGGTGTACTGTACCCAATCATGAAAGTCTGTTCACTTTTAGAATTTGCAGTACCAGCAACTCTAGACTTAAAATTAGAATATGAACAAATATTTCTGTCCTTAGTTGTCAATCTGGGGGCACACGGTGGCGTAGTTGGTTGAAGCGCTATGCTACGAGCTGGACTGTAACAGGTTTGACTCCCATTATGATCACTGGACTTTTCAATTGACCTAATCCTTCAATCACACTATCACCCTGGAGTCAACCCAGCCTCAACTAGAAATGAGTACCAGGAATCTTCCTGGGGGTAAAGGGCACCTGGCACATAAGGCTGACAACCTCACCGCCACCTGAGAGCCCACTCTACAAAATGTGCAAGCCTCAAAGTCCAACAACCCTATGGGCCTCACAGCCTATTACAGGGATAGCTTTTCCCTTTGTTGTCAATCTAACATAACGTTGCCTACCAGAATAAAAACAAGTACGAGGCAGAAACTCATTCAGTCATGAGTATCCAAATAGACTAGGTGATTAAAAGCGGAATATCCCAGTTGACTAGGCACCTTCATATGTTTAAGATACCCTACACTATATGACAAGTTTACGTTATAATGGATTCCTAAAAATACTTCAATGAGCGTTATTAAGAAACCTTCCCAGGGCTGATAAATTAGGCAACTCAAGTACTAGGTATTCTTTATAGGACAAAATGACCAGAACCTATATCATACTCTCAAAACACACTCTGGTTAAATTCCATATTGCTATAAAAATTTGGCACGACTCTGATATAAGCAGGCTGGCCACATTAGTTGCAAAGAAGGTATTTACATATACACAGGGGATTGACAAAATTATGCAAACACTAAGAGACTGAGGAATAAAATTTGTGTTGGCTACATTGAAAGAACTTCATTTGGCAACAGTGAATGATCTCTTCCATCTGTTTACACTCTGTAGTGCTCATGTAAGTTCATGTTTTAAAAATTATTTTTTTTTAATTCGTTTAGTGGGGGGTGGAGTCCAACTGGGTCCACTCGGCACAGCAGCCACTGATTGGCCTATTGTAGCCTGCCGCAGGTAATTATGATGGAGAATTTGGTGGAATGAAGATTGACAGGGGAAACCAGAGTACTTGGAGAAAACTCGCCCCAGCGCCACTTTGTCCACCACAAATCCCACTTGATCAGACCCCGGATCGAACCTCGGTGGAAAGCCAGTGACTAACGGCTTGAGCTAAGCGGCCTCCGTAGTCTAGGGGTAACGTTCCCACCTCATGACTCAAGGTATGCGGGTTCAAACCCGGCGGAGGTTGTGGAATTTTTAAGGGCAGAAAAATTCAGGGAACAAGTCCTCCAGGAGGGACTTTAAGCCGTGGGTCCCGTGTCGTAGATTTACGGCACGTAAAAGATTCTCATGTCTCTAGGAGACCTCTAAGTAAAATTAGGCAACACATTTCCCACCCAAGTAGTTTCCAGTGCCTCTGGTAGATGGGTGAAATATCAGGTACCGAGGGCTGACCTCGTTGGCTGAACGGGGCTGATAGCACGCACCAGTACCGGTAGGGTATGGCGACAGTAGAAATTAAAGGGGAACGCACAATGGACCAATAACTGGTCTAAGTGCATGGGGAAACCCACCCCCTCTAATAATAATAATGATAATAATAACGGTTTGAGCTATGGTGCAGCCTATGTCAGTGACAGTCAATGTGGAAGAATCAGAAAATGGGAGCCTTGTCCAATTTTGAAAGAGGACAGATAATTGGTGCGCATTTTGCTGGGGCATCTGTGATAAACTCTGCCACATTATTAGGCATATTGAGAGCAAAAGTTTCTAAGGTCAGGTAGCCATACACGAATCATGGGAAGGCATTATAGGCAAAGAGCAACAGTGGGCAAAAATCATCACTGACAGAAAGAGACTGTTGTATACTGAGAAGGCCTACTTTGAAAAATCACAGAACTACTGCAGCAGGAGTGACAGCAAAAAAAAAAAATTCATCTTGAAGAACCTGTTTCTACAAAAACTGTCAAACATGAGCTTCACAAATCCATTATAAACAGTAATTCTGCAACTGTTAAATTTCTGACTACTAAAAGCAATGCTCAGATGCTTAAACTATGGTGTTATGACTATAAAACTTGAACATCAGACAACTTGAGATGTATGCATGATATGGTCAGATGAGTTATCCTTCACGCTGTTCCCTGCATCAGATGGAGTTTACGTTTGGAGAACACCCAAAGAAGAATACAATCCGAAACGCCTGGTTCCAGCAGTGAAACACAGGGGAGGTTCTGTAATGGTTTGGGCAGCAGTATCATGGTACAGTATTCTGTTCATCTCATCAGTACCTTCCATGGCCAAATTACTGCAAGAGAGTATGTGGAGAGGCTGGGTAATGAGGTGCATCCCATGATCCTGACATTACTTCTGAACAATGATGCAGTTTTACAAGACAACAATGCTCCCATTCACACAGTTGGAACTGTCTGAAGAGCATGAAGGTAAACTTCAACATTGTCCCTGGCCAGCAAAATCACCAGGTCTGAACATCATTGAATCACTTTGTTCAGTTTTTGAGTCTAAAGTGATGAACAGATTCCCACCTCTAACATCTCTAAAACAACTGGAATGGTATAAAATTCCACTAATGAATGTTCAAAACTTAAGGATTGCAGCTGTACTGAAGATAAAAGGTGGACCAACACCTTCTTAATAAAGAAATGTGTGCAGTATCTGTAGTATTTCCATTATTTTGCCTACCTCCTGTGTGTGTGTGTGTGTGTGTGTGTGTCTGTTGAGCCCCATCTATAGTCACACATAAATTGTGACAATATATATACTGTTGAACATTTAATGAACACAAAAATTTATGACACAAAGCCAAAGCAAGCCCTTTATGTGTTAGGTATGCTTCCTTAACATGTGAAAACTATTATTTAATAATAAATAATGCATATGTTGAGCCCCATAAAGTATGCCCCTGCCTCAAGCATACAAGTATATATATTCCTCGCCATTGTTCACGGTCTGTGCAACCCTGTGTAAGTCATCCTACAGACATGGATGAGTCCCTAGCCACATATAGACTGATAATAAATCATGTTAAGATAGCAGCATCATAGTTCTGGGTTCTTCTGGTCTGGCCTTCTCTCCCAGTTCAGCAGTTCATCCAAGACAGCTTCCAGGAGTGGATTGCCTCCAAGTTTGGCCACCTCAGCCCTTGCCTCAGCATCAAGCTCCTTAAGTGTATGCCTCGTGTGCCTGAAAGACCCAAACTTCTCCAGCAATGTAATACAGTACTTCTTTACTTCCACATCGTGTGTTCGTTGACGCAGAATATCTGAATGGATGCAGTCAAGACAAATATTCAAAGTTCTTCACATAACAGTATCACAAAGATTTTGCTATAATCTGAAACAATGGAACTTCAATACAATCAGTCCTGTATTTATGCAGTATCATTACAAAGAATATTACATTTATAACCACTTCAATGTGACCCATCCTTCCTTGTTACGAACAATACACATTCACTCTGGAATATTAAAGCATCACAGCTATGTGGACCTATAGATAAAGTCCTCTGCTGACACCCTGTGCTATATCATTTTCCACTACAATTATGTGGGTTACTTCAAAAGTCACGGCAACATAATTTTTCCGAAATTTTGGAAGCTCCGACCAGAATTTCCAAATTTGCCGCTGAGAGACAGCAACGTCTGATTTCTAATGATGCCGCTAGATGATGCAATAGTCCAGAGACAATGAAGCAAGTCCAGCGCGAAGTCAGTGTGAACATAACCTTTGTCAAGAATGAACGTTAGCCGGCTGGAACAGTGTTGTTACGTGAAAATAGCAGTGCTTCGCGGCAGAAATGCGACTGAATGTCACTCAGAGCTTGTGGAAGCTCTGGGTGATCATGCTCTACCATACAGAACTGTTGCAAGGTGGACAGAAGCGTTCCAACGTGGAAGAGAAGCAAGTGCCGACTTGCAACATAGTGGACGCCCTGTGTCCATTCGTACCGATGTTTCTCGTGCCGTGATCGCCCAGTGCACGGAGGAAGATAGGTGCTGGTCTCTGAAGGAGTTAGAGAGACATCCAGGGATTGACCAGGCAACTGTGCACCAAATTTTACAAAACTCACATTGAATTTTTTATTTCTTAATCACAACTGAATTTTTCAAGGATTAAAGAATGGAAAAAAAAAACAGTCATTCTGTAATGTGCAATTTTTCTTGCCTACTTTACCTATGCCCCTTCACATCTACCTGATGTGACTAAGCTAATCGGAGGGGTATATCATGCCCTTCCATAAGCATATTTTGAACTTTCTTCACTGTAACGTGTTTGCCCCAAAAAATTAGTTGCCATGACTTTTGAAGTAACCCACATATATGCAATACTCTCATAGTACAGGGTGGGGCGCAGAAACTTCCTTTCTTTGAAGGTGAATAAAAGAAAAATTATTGCTGATAGACAAAATTTATGTTTAGCTAATGAAATAACATACTTTAAAGTTTTAAATCATGTAGGTTTAAACAAAATATCTTGAAGGTGGTGACCACCGTTTTCTATGCACTGATGCAACCATTTTCTGAAGTTCCCCTCCGCATGTTCCAACATGTGCGCCGGAATTTGGGATACTCCCTTCCGAATAACATTCTTCAGTTGAAGCAGGTTTGTGGGGCGATGTTTAAAAACCTTTGCCTTGAGGTATCCCCATAAAAAAAATCACAGGGCATTAGATCAGGTGAGTGCGCTGGCCAAGGGATGTCACCTCGAAGCGAGATGAGCCGTCGGGAGAACTTTGCCCTCAAAACTGTCATTGAAGCTCGGGCTTTGTGGGCCGTGGCACCATCCTGTTGGAACCAGACATTTCCTAAATGGATTCCTTCAAGAGCTGGTTCAAAAAAGTTTTTAATCATGTCCACATACCGCTGTGAATTGACAGTAACTGCATGATTGTCTTCTTCAAAAAAATAAGGGCCAATAACTCCAACTCTTGACAATGCACACCATACTGTCACCTTATCACTGTGAAGTGGCCTCTCATGGAGCTCTCTGGGATTGTTACCACTCCAATAGCACATATTCTGCTTGTTGACATATCCGGATAGGTGAAAATGTGCCTCATCACTAAAGAAAACAAGTGTGTCAGGGGGTAAAGTTTTCAATAACGTTTCACACGCTGTTATTCAGTTCTGGAAATCACGTGGTGACAATTCTTGGACAACAACCATCTTATAGGGATGGAAATGACGATGTTCGTGAAGAATTTGGCGCATTGAATGATTGGATATGTCTAGGGTGACTGCATGTTTGAGAGTGGAGCGTCTTGGAGATCTCAAAATCGACTGTTGAACTGCCTCCACATTTTCTGGCGTTGTAATGGTCCGTTGTCATCCTGATGATTTTTTTACCACTCCCGGTTGTCCTGAAGTTCTCTACCCACAAAATAATCAATTTCCGGTCGGGAACTGGACCTCTGGGCTTAATTCTGAAGTGAGTATGGAACGCACGCTGCACTGCCACATAGGAATGGTTGTTTGAAAAATAGACTTTGACAGCAAACGCACACTGCTCACTCGTCCACCTCATGTGTCCTACTGAGGGGTATTAGACAGAAACTTCCGTGACTGCTGCGTTCTCCAAGCATATCCCCACTTTTCTGCAACCTTCCCTCCCTTCACAATCTGTCTTCACAGAAAGGAAGTTTCTGCGCCCCACCCTGATCTCGGAATCACAGGAACAGCACAGAGGTGTTCATTATTAAGCAACATGACAGTAAAACACATCTGTGGCAACGAGTATGCGCACAATTGTCAGTGAGTTGTTGGAGGCAGTGTCATCTTGGTAGCCCACAACATGACAATATACAGAGACCCTGTGAGCTAATAAAGAATGGGTCTGTGATGACTGGGCTAACAAGTGAGTCTGTGACAAAGGGGCACTGAGGAGTCATGCAAGAACTTCTGACCCTGTTGTGAAGTCACTATTACATAACACTGAGGTCAGAAGTGGGACAGTTAAGATTGTGGGGCTAATGGATTGTTGGACTGTGGACTGTAGATGGAACTGACATGATAGCTGACTGCAGACAAACTGAAATGTCTGTTGAGACATATTTGAGGCCAACCGAAAAAAGACAGGTAGTCCAAAAGAGCTGTGGGCTACAAAATACTGTTGTTTCCATACAAATGTGTATCACCACCTCGTTTGTGGAATTTCTGACATGACAGAGTCAATCGCCAGAAACCACTGGGAAATGTAAAATTTTATTTCAAATTAGTTTCTTTCTTCAAGAAAGAATAACATTCCAGAGCAGGCTACTCAACTTTAAACATAACAGCAGAAACGTGAAGCATATGCGAAAGCCACTGTATTTAGTATGTTTCTCTATTAGTTTTAGAAGAAACTTTCAAGCCTACTCTTTTAAGGCATTCAAGTATTTTGGTCCCTATGCAAAACTTATTTAAAACATAGTAACTGTAGTGCATTTACTGAATATTTACAGTTTTGTTAAGCACCTGTCATTTTTTAATGAAATGTTCATTACCCTCTACTATCACCCTGCATAAGTTCTAACAATAATTACAGGACACTGAAAGGAGTTAAATATAAAGAGAGTTTGAAAAGGAATGAGCCTGAACACTGTTCACCATCAGTGGTCTTAACTGATGTGGTGCAAGCGCCATGTCACTTCCTCAAGTGCGTTCAGATATTAGTGCAAAGGTTGTCATTTTCCATAGTGTGCATGTATTTGTAAAATCTCTTGGAAGAAACCCGCTTTCCAATGGCAGAGCAGAATGATCTTTCACATGTTTTAGGGCAGAAATGAGCCACAGAATTTTGTGTGAAGCTGGGAAAAAGTGGTGAAGAGATGTCAGAGATATTACAGAACGTGTATGGAAATGAACCAATGTGCTGGGCTGCAGTATTTCAATGGCAAAAACATTTTAAAGATGAAAAAAAAAGGGCGGTTTATAAAGCTTGAAGTGGGAGACCAAGCACTACCATCACAGACATGAATACTGATAAAGCTTAAGATCTTCTAAAGGACAGGAGATTACTGATAAGGGAATTATCCTGTAGTTTAAATGTGTCAACAGAAAGGGTTCACAATATCATTACAGTGGAATGAAGATAGAGCCGAATGGGTCCAAGATTGGTTCCCCATGACATCAGTGATGAGCAGAAAAGAAAGCATGTGAAAGTCTGCCAATGAAATGCAACTCTTGATGAACAAAACCCTGACATTTTATTCCCCAAAACCACCTGTGGTGAGTCTTGGATAAGACATTATGACCCACAAATGAAATAACAGCCTATTGTTTCAAAACACAGTTTGATCTTCACCAAACAAATTTTGGACAGTACCACCATCAGGAAACGTAACAGTCACATTGTTTCTTGATTCATAAGGCAGTATTCTTTAGCATGGCTACCTCAGACATAAAGTGTGTATTGTGTGACTATGCAAACACACTTGAAACTCATTTAAGGAAGGCTATTTATATAAAAAGAATGGCGTTCTTGACAAAACAGTGGCTTCTGCACACAATGTACAGCTGTATATTGCACATGTTATGACAAGAGGCGCTAACGGACATAGTTAGAACACCTGTATAACATTCACTGCACAGTCCAATTTCACCCTATGTGATTTCTGGGCATTTACGATACTTAAACATGAACTACAAGGACATAAATTCAGCATTTACAATCAAGTTAAACAATCCACTACTGCTACTCTATGCAAGACATCAGGATATGGACTACTGCACATGTTTGAGAACTTGGTGGGGGCACTTCAGAAAACGTCTACAGCATGTGAAGGGCATTACTTCGAAAAAGAAATGGTACTCAAACCTCTGGAATCCTCAAATAGTAAGCAATGCTAGAAGTCACATTATATTTTTTTTAACTTGTTATGCCGTGGTGGCAGGGGGGCATGGAGGTATATCCCACCGCTGCCACCACTGTTACGGCGTGAAGGGGGGGCGTGGAGGTACCTCCACCGCTTCCGCCACTGTACCTCTCTCTAGCTGTCGCTACACTTATCTCCTGCCGTGATGACGGAGGGCGAGGAAATATCCCTCTCCGTCACCCTGTTTAGTATGCTGCCACCATCTTGGTAATCCAAGAAATCTCGTACTTATCTTAGCTTGCATTACTGTCTGGGGTAAACCGTAAATCGCCGAAGCTTTGGGAAGTCCTGGAGGCGGAGGAAGAGGATAACACTCGTGGATATGTGTGGTTGAATGAAACTCGTACACATTCCTAGCCTATTCTATTTACCTACGTCTTTAAATACACTATATACACCGTGCCGACGTTTGTCGGTTTGACTTACATTAAAATAATCTTGCAGTGTCTCATCATGTCCACCACCGATCACCCTGCTGTCGGTATTCTATGCTTGGAATCACTGAATGACCTAGCCCATCTGATTAGCCTATCTCTTCCGGGTTACACTTTACACTTTACACTTTGCACTCAATGATCATGGCTATATGAAATGGTTCCACTTACTTGAGCTGAAGATGAGAAGGCTTGTCATCACGATCCAGCGTCCACTCATGGCCACAATTGAGGTACTAATGTAATAATGACATTAATAAGAATAGATCCGACTAGAATCGAATCGAATAGCCAAAAAAAGCTAAGAAGCTAAAAAGCTAAAAAGAGCCCCTAAAATGGGTCGTCTCGGGTTTTTATAACCTCTGCTATGCTGACTCGTTGTCTTCCGGGTATAGGGGTCCTCCTACCCTGACGTGATTTTGGGTCGGTGTAGCTTGTTTATTGGTTGTTAATCGAGAAGGGGTTGACTCTTTCGGTAAGCCGCCTCCTTCTGCTCAGCATTTTTCGTCTGCCATAGTGCTTATGACACATTTCATATAGCCCTTCCGTATTGTCAGCGGTTCCCGCTGTCGTGTTAACATTCTGATTAGTCAGGAATTTCTTTTACTTCCTTGTAAACCCAGCTCTCCGGTTCATGTCCTTATTACTATTCAGTTTTAGTTTAGTTTTTTTGTGTTTTTTCCATCTTACATCTAATTGTAGTGATTCCAAATTTACCCAAAAAAACTACATCTACATGTGCATAACCTTAGCGGCATAACATAACTCTCCTCATATTAGCATTCTTGAGTCAAGTCAGTGTTAACAAAATGATCTTAAAGAAAAGGATACGGATCACCTGATTATCATCTGGTCGACTCTTTATGGCATGAATTATTGGGAAACTGAACTTCCCCTCTGTGAGGTCTTCACAGTAACTTTTGTTTTCTGAATACTGAAAAAAATAAAAAGAATACACATTAAGAAGCAATCAGTATTCAATGGAATATGACTTGCAGTTAGTAACTTGTAACCGTAGAGTGAGACATGAACAGTTTTAAACTGCATTAAAGATGGAGGTGTATAAATGAGTGATACATCAACACAACAGGATGCTCAAGTATAATATTATGACACTTCCTGTTACTTAAGTGACTAGACATGGGGGTTTAGATTGGTAATTGGAATCATTGAAGATTTGTAAGTCATAACTGGAATTACAACACTACGGCTATTCCACTCATTTAACAAATCACCAGTGGACATTCCAAGTCTTCCCAGTCTGCGGTGTCTTCAGTTGTTTGTTGCTTGGTAGCTGTTTCAACAATGACCTATTTTGACTCTCTAATGGTTCTCACGGCATCATTAGCCATCACTATCACGCACCCAGAGACTATAGCCTCAACACAAACCATACAGAAGACACCGTTCCTAACAGTTCCTCTGTCTTTGAACATATAACTGTTGCTGCAGTAAAAGTTTATTGAGCCAATGAAACCTATTTAGTTTGCCATTTCTGAACAGCAGGAAATTTTTAAGTCATCATGTCACATTGCTCCCTCCTTAAAGCTGTTCATCCCAAGCAGCCTATAGGAATACTGCCATTTCTTATCCAAAGGGGATGTACCTGTGACATCTGTGATTGGTCTCACAAATGGCACATCTTCGGGTTTATGCAGCCAGAACTTTGAAAGTGGTCAGTGTTCCTACAGCACTGGCACGAGTTGTCGGTAGTCTCTTCTTTCGTTTTGGAGGGGGTCAGCTCCTCCACATCACCCTATCACTTGTTTACTCGATTACTGGAGACAAATGGAAGACCCAACTGTCAGTTTTAAGACTTCCAGCTCTAGGCTCCGCCTGAAGGTGTCATTGAGTACCTTCTCACCTCTCAGATGTAGCTGCTGGTTTATGCCTCAGTCTCCTATCCCACCGTCCTGTGCCTAGCCCAGTCCCTTACGAATGTGGTTCTCATGTAGTGCAGGAAAGGGACAGTGGGTCAGCTGCTTAACCCTTTGACGTGGTCATTTAAATTCCGCGGCCGCGGCTCCTGCGGTAATATATTCAGCCGGCCATTTAAATTTTGCTCGAAAATTATTTATTCATCATTGTTCTTAAATTCTATGAGATAGGAACATGAAACTTTCACTAAAATGATCTTAAATTGTGGTTTTATAACCTTACCTTATAATATGGGAGCCCTGTATCTCGGCCATGGGTGCAGGTTGTTTAGTATTTGAGCAGTGAATGGTACGCCTTGAAGGATGAAACTTTCACTAAAATGATCTTAAAAGATGGTTTTATAACCTTGCCTTATAATATGAGCACCCGGTATCTCGGCTATGTAAGCAGGTGACGCCTTGAAGCATTAGTCTAAACACAGCGCTGGCTCACATTCACCAAACCAATACTGCGTATCTTTTCTTTTGCTCTTTTTTTTCTAACCACACTTCTGTGCGGCCCTGCCTTCTTCCCCGTGGGGGGAATACAAGTGGAAATGTCTCTCCGTGAGTCGTATATTTTGACAGATTAGCTGCAGTAAATTCAACCTTTGTGTTATCATAACAAGGGTTTGGTGCTTCTGCGTTTCAGATTCCAACCTTTTCGGCTGCCCCAGATGTCGTAGGGGTGACCACAGAATTCATGAAGTTATTATAAGAACTGGCTGGTATATAGTGAACGAAAGCAGAGCTTAGCTGGCTCAAAAAAAATATTTATGGTCATCCCTCGAAACGACCACCAAGGTCAGTACGATAAAATGGCGTCAACTGGAGCGATAATACATGAAGGAATGAGTTCTTTTCCCTCCCCCACACACATCCGTATCGTCTCAGGGGGTGACCACAGTGTTCTGCCTTAAATTGTGGCGTTTTTCTAAGAACTGGGCCTTTGTACTGTGCGAAATCAATGGATCATGCGAGAATAAATTTTTGGACAACCCAATTCTAAGAATTCCAATTGAGTGTGTTAGTTGTGGCCAGCTCAGGGCAATATGATATTATAAACACATCACATCACGTCTCTGATGTTTATAACTTCGTAGCAAAGGAAACACGACATTCATTACGGTGAAACCGCTAGCAAGAGCCACAGGAACTTTGCTGCAAGACAGGCATATGTAACAATGACTTAGCGCAGATAAAGACGTGTCATATTATACTCTGTACTACTGACAACATGCCAGCGAAAAATCTAACAATCTACAGCAAAACCATCAATTATTATGGGCGTTATAACATAGGTGTGCAGCTGGACGAAACATACACGTCGAACCCCCCCAGACGATTTAAATACCTGACGAAACATACACGTCAAACCACGGCAACGGGTTAATGGCAGTGGCAAACTCCTGTAAGTATTCACCATTGTCTTGGATCCATGTTTGCAGCTGAATGCGGTACCCTACAGACAGGTGTTCATCCCCAAATCGTTCCTCGGACCCCAATAGCCTCCTCATACATTGCTCCTTCAAGGACTCCATGTAGCATATCAGATGCCTGGTACTGTGGGGCGGTAAGGTGAGTGGTTTTTACATGTGGTACCTACCCATAAGGCTCCACTACAGCCTCTATCTTTTCCTGACTGGCCTCCGTCTTGACTCCTAACTTTTCCTGGTTAGCCCCCATCTTTTCTAACCAGGCCTCCATCTTGGCTTCCATCCTTTCTTGACGGGCTTTCATTTCAGCTCTCTTCCGTTCTTGGCTGATCTTTATCATGGTCACTATATTCTCTTGATGGGCTTTCATTTCAGCCAGCATGTATTTTATCATTTACTCCACATCTCATAGTATGGCGATATAACTATCCACTTTAGTCTTCAATCCAAGTAATCCAACTAATCCCACTTCTGACACCAGTCTGTCACACACTTGTGACTAGACACAGGGTTTAGATTGGTAATTGGATTTACTACAAGTAATTATAACACTACTGCTTATTTACATACTTCACAAATTATTACACATTCCAAATCTTCCCAGTCTGCTGTGTCCCCATGTGGTCACTACTTGGTAATGGATCCCAACAATGACCTCTTTTGACTCTCAAATGGTTTTCATGGCATCATTAGCCATCACTGACTATCACTCACCCAGAGGCTCTAGTTACATAGCCTCGACATAAACTGTATAGAAGGCACCATTTCTAAAAGTTCTTCTATCGTTGCATGCATAACCATTGCCATGATACTCTTTTAGTGAGCTGTGAAAATGCGTTAATTTGCCACTGCCTAGGAGCACACAATGTTTAAATCATCACGTCACAGTACAGACAATACTGTGGCATGAAAGCATACAGGGGTTATAAAACAAAGTGGGTTTTCATAAATCCGATGTTTCAGCAGATACTAAATGTAGCGAAGTCCTCATGGGTGATCAGCCATGTTAAAATTAAATAAAATTTCAGCATGTGAAACAGTGTTATATATCATCAACATAGTTTCTGACAGTAATCAGACTTTGTTTAAGCACATATTTTCCCAGATCTTTTGTTTTTCTTATCTGCAGAACTGCAGAGCAGTATATGTACAACCCATTACATGCAGGTTGTACCCTGGTCTCACATTGCAGAAGAACATTCTCCATATTTATCTATCCCTCAACTACTTACACAGCTTGCACTGAAATCCTCAGAAAGGTCAGTTCTGAAATTGAACATATCTATTCCACTACTTCTGCCTCCCTTTCATGTCATCACAGAGTAACTGAAAGAAAATAAGTTAAACTTAAAAACCTGCGAGGCAGAGACAGACTAAAGTGTCCCATATACTTATGGAACCAGTTAGTTTCACAGAAGACACTAGAGCAACAGTAAGAGAACTCTGTGACAAGCGTGTTAAGATTATTTATGTGAACAGATTTTCTGAATTGTTTTCACTTGTTGTATGTTAATGCAAGTTATGACTTCTGGCTAAAAATGGGTTTAAAAGCACACAAAATGGTCAAACATGTTACAAGGTTTCACACCACTGACATGAGTCTTCACCCCTAAAAATTGCATTTTGCATGAAAATTATTCACTGATTTTTTCATCGCAATGCTCATCAAGAAGTCAAATGGTGGAGTTTACTGCTGCAGATAATCATACCATGTGGATCACATTCAACTGAAATCACCACAATCTAACATGTAAAATTATATTCTGAAACACATTATTTGAATATTTTATGCACTGCAACTTTCAGATAAATGAGTAAATACACTAAAAAGGAAATGCAGGTAAATGTAATTTGCTTCCTATGAATTATGAACTCTAAGAAACGGTACCCAATCTATATTATACAGTAAAAATGTTCACCAATGACAACAGAAATATCTGTCTTTACAACAGATCTAGTTCCATCTAGTGGCAGGGTACAGAATGCATGAGGCATCATATCAGTGTCCCCCATACAGCTTCCTGGCAACAAGCTCACATATAGGGACGATTTCACCTATCTAGAAACAACACCTAAGATGTCAGTTACCTCCTGCAGGCAGAGATTGCAGTAGTCATCCCGAATCTGGAAGTACAGGCCCAAGATGCCAGTCAGTCTGGTGAAGTCAGCTTTATTCTCACTAAAGAGCTGCATGAGTCGGATTGCAAGCATAAACAGTCCACCTGTTTCTGTGAAAAGCATATTTATTATGTTCCAGCAATTCAAGGTCACAGCTGTTGGTTCCAGACTACATGGAACCTACCACAAAAAAACAACAACACCTGGCTCAGAACCCAATATTCTTTATATAAAAGTCCAGGTCCCTACTTGGAGTCTACAAGAATCACACCATAATAGATAATTGGACCTGACCAGAACCCAAGACATTTTATACTACAAAGATCCTGCCACAACAAACAAGTGCACCTAGCCAGGAACCCATGACTTATTTTATACAAGTCCAGTGCCTTGCTTGGAGACTATAAGGACCTCATCACAATGCCCAGTGCACTTGGTTCGAATCTCCGCAAGAACATTGGCTATACTGAATGAGGTTTTCATTGTTTTCTTCCCTACCTCCTTGAATAGGCCACAACCACTTCCTTCTGAATAATTTCCAGTTCACCATTCACTGTCATCCCGAGAGTCAATGCTATAACCTAAATACAAGGTGTATCAGAAAGTTCCCAAATTAGGTCAAAAAAGAAATGATGGCTTAACTTACTCAATTTTTGCTACCATCTCCTTCAAAATAGTCTCCATTTTCTTTCACCGAGGTAGTTACAACAATAACAGTCCGGGAACTTTCCAATACCACCTCATATTGACATTGACATAAAGCAACCTACAAAAAACAAAACAACAAAGAGCACCGGGCCAGAACCCTAAGGCGGGGGCCACACGAGCACACAAAATGCGTCCATTTTAATGAACATCGTGACATCCGTTGTAGAAATAAACAAGAGAGGCGAATGCTACGCTTTCTTCTGGCTCCATTGCAGACAATAAACTATGCACCACATTCTGCAACTGTGTTGTGTCCTCAGCAACGTCCATCATAAAGTACGTTCGTTGCAACGGACGTACTTCGTGTGCTCATGTGGCCCCAGCCTAACACTTCTTATGTATGTAGCCAGGTTGTTGACCCNCTGAATGAGGTTTTCATTGTTTTCTTCCCTACCTCCTTGAATAGGCCACAACCACTTCCTTCTGAATAATTTCCAGTTCACCATTCACTGTCATCCCGAGAGTCAATGCTATAACCTAAATACAAGGTGTATCAGAAAGTTCCCAAATTAGGTCAAAAAAGAAATGATGGCTTAACTTACTCAATTTTTGCTACCATCTCCTTCAAAATAGTCTCCATTTTCTTTCACCGAGGTAGTTACAACAATAACAGTCCGGGAACTTTCCAATACCACCTCATATTGACATTGACATAAAGCAACCTACAAAAAACAAAACAACAAAGAGCACCGGGCCAGAACCCTAAGGCGGGGGCCACACGAGCACACAAAATGCGTCCATTTTAATGAACATCGTGACATCCGTTGTAGAAATAAACAAGAGAGGCGAATGCTACGCTTTCTTCTGGCTCCACTGCAGACAATAAACTATGCACCACATTCTGCAACTGTGTTGTGTCCTCAGCAACGTCCATCATAAAGTACGTTCGTTGCAACGGACGTACTTCGTGTGCTCATGTGGCCCCAGCCTAACACTTCTTATGTATGGGGCCAGGTTGTTGACCCCAGACCACAGATCCTGCCACAACAAAAATAAAAAACTACACCTGGCCAAAGTCAAAGGTTATGAGTATTTACGATATTCAGAAAGTAAAGATACAAAGGGTTTTTTTTTTCAGAAATGGCAGTGCTGCAGTGTGAGACAGGAACCATACGATAGTCACGGCAACGTTGTGCTCGCAGTGTGTTTAAAATGGACATGTCTATTCAAAATCCTGCCAAATGTGGGATTCGTGCAGTAATTTGATTTTTTCAAGCAAAAGGAGAAACTGTTGCTGAAATTCGCCAACTTGTTTCTGTTTACGGCAAAGATGTCATGAACAGGCAAAAAGTGGCAAAATGGTGTCGTGAATTTGAAGCAGGAAAAAGTGATGTTCATGATGAAATAAGGAGTGGAAGGCCATCCATTTTCACTGACGAAATTGTCCAAAAACTGATGAAAACATTCATGCTGAAAGATGTTTAACCATCGGTGAACTTCATCAACATTGTCCAGAAGTGTCAAGAACTGTTCTCCATGAAATGCCATGGCTAAGAGAGAAGGCAGGAGATTTCTACAATGCTGGAATAAAAAACTTGTTCCCAGGCTCACCAAGTGCATTGCGATCCATGGTGACTAAGTGGAAAAGTAAATAAAGGTATGCTGTAAAAGTGCTACAAGTGAATAAAAAAAATGCTTTACAAATATTTTCCGGACTTTGTATCTTTTTTTTTTTTCATTGGCACTACAGCCCTCATTTGGGCCTAGGCCTACTTCCATGAAACTCTCTGTTTTCACTTTGGTTTTACTAATCTTAGACATACGGTAGGACTCCTTGGGCGGTTTATCAGCTTGTCGCAAGGCCTCTACCTGTACACAAACACATAAAAACGCACACAAACATCCATGCCCCAAATGGGATCTGAACCCACAATCCTGGCTTCTGAATGAGCGAAAACAGTGCATGCCTTAGACCGCTCAGCTACCGTGACCGGCCTTTGTATCTTTACTTTCTGAATATTCTTTGTATGCATGAGACCATACTGTTACCTCCCCAACTACAACAATCCTTCCAAAACAAATATCCACATCAGGCCATATGTACATACGTGTACATGTCCAGTGCCTTACTTACAAACTACAAGGATTCCACCAAACCGTTTTATGTATGGGACTAGACTGCCCCCCCCCCTCCAAAAAGAATACTTATACAGTGAAACCTTAAATAATGGTTTCTCTGTTTGGAAAAGGATATGAAACTTAACTGAAGAAAATTTGCTTTACACCAAAAATTACAGTACTTTGACCTTCCTGTTCTCTGCCCATGGGAGAAGACTGAGTCCCATGTAGGTAACTCTCCACTGACAAATCTGATCTAGAACCCTCAATATTAAATTTTAACTAATGGAAATCCTTATCCAATAGAACCCCTCTATAACATTCCTTGATTTAAGGTTCTACCTCATTTAACATTCAATTTCAATGATCCAAACAAAATAATCTCAGTGTTTAGTTTCTTCCTTTTAACCCTTTCACTCTCCTATCTGAACGTTGTCATCATTTACCAGTGCTTTGTCCAGACTATCTATCATATCCAACCAAGGTCAGATAGTAACATGCCAAGACAGAACTAAATCTTTCTCTTTCAGAATATACTTTGGCCATGCAGTTATTCTTGTATCCCCAGATGGTGATATAGCTACCTTTTCAACTCCAATGAATGCACGCAGATCATATGACTCACTTTTTGCCATGAAATAAAGTAAATCTCCAGTGTACTACGAAAAACTGCAGTGCTAACAAGTAAACCAACAGTTGAGTTACTTGAACCTAGAGTGTTAAGATTTTTGTGTTTAGTGTTCAAATCCACTGCTCTAAAAATAAACTTCAATGGGACTTTCACTGTAGCAAGACATGCTTAAATTCATATTTCTCTGTAATTACATAACATAAATCCAGTTTTAAGATCAAAAGCATTACCCCCTGTGTCCTCATTACTGTTTACTTTTTTTTTTTTTTTTGCTAAGTGCTACATTATTTTTCCCTCACTGTTTATTCTGCCCTAATCTATGCAGTTACCTATTCTGCTTATTTATGGTGGTATATGCACTTAATGAGAAAATAATTCTGATTCAGAGAATAGGACATGACCCCAATGGCAAATGTAACATGGCCATCAAACAGCAGGCTGAAAGATATGTATTCAGTTTCAGGTCAAGGTAATAAAACTGATTTAAGTTCATCCATAAACGAACCCTCTCCTGTGCAATTTTTCATAAAAGTTTTTTTCTGAACCACATTCTCCCTGCTAGCCACGATTTTTTTTAATCTGTTGTTGGTTAATACACCATCCATATATTTCAAACCAAAGCCTGCAGTGCAGATTTTGATTAAATTTAATATTAACTTTATGCCATTGGAAGCCACTCACACTTGTTGCACTACACACAGATAACAACATGGCAGGCACACACTAACAACCATAGTAACCTCAGATGTACATACTAGTGTTAACAACTTTATCAGAGCTGTCTGGCATAGCTATATGCACTAAGAATGCCAAAAGTGCAAAGAATACACATGGAAACTATGTACTTTGGTACGGATTGCACCCTTCCAATCTTGTTAGAATAACGGGGGTATGGGGTTAAATTGTGCTCATGGATCTAACCCTAACCTTGTGGCCGCACCACAGCTCAAGCGGTATGTCGCTGGCTTCTCACCAATGCGGCCCAGGTTCGATCCCATGATCTAGTCAAGTGGGATCTGTGCTGTCCAAAGTGGCACTGGGGCAGGTTTCCTCCGAGTACTTCGGTTTCCCCTGCCAATCTTCATTCCACCAATTGCTCCACAATCACCCTCACCTATCATCTGGGACTGGTACAATAGGCCAGAAGTGGCCGCAGTACAAGGGACTTAGTCCCACCCCACTAGCAATAATAATAATAAAAAAAAAAAAACCCTAACCTTACTTCTTTTGGTCATCTGTTGATATTCCTCTACTGATGGGCAAGTGTAGTTATCACGCCAGTAGATCTCCATTCCCTGCCCCCGATGCAGCTCCAGGAGTTGTTCTGTGTATACTGTTGTTGCTTCAGGGTGATTTAGGCTCAGCACCCTCTCCAGTGCTATGAACAGCACATAGTTGGCAGCATTGATAGTGCTGGCAACTCCATAAATTGAGTGTGCCACAGGAATACCTCTACGCAGAATAGAGTTGTCCTGAATGTCATCAATTCTGAAATATAGAATGGTCACAATTTTGATACAAAATTTTATTATACAGTGTTCCCACTTACAAACTTTATTTAACACTTAAAGGCATCCTGGAATAGCCACTGTTTATTCTAATGCATGGACACTTTCAATTATTATAGTTATAAATACTAGTGAAATATGTACTGAACAGTCAACAGCAAATCTTGAAAATTCCAGCCTCTAGCTATACTTTCCACTGAGAATTGTTCCATTGATCTCTCTCAAACATTAAGAATCTTAAGGGATATTTTGAAATCACTATTTCACTGAATATGAACATCACAGTTCTGGAAAGACATATTAACTCTTTGACTGGCACGGGTGTGTTTTAACGCCAGGGCGATGCCAGCCGTTCCCTGGCGTTGGCGTGTTTTAACGCTTTGAAAATCTCTTCCCTTATTTGCTCTCTTGGCTCTCATCAACCAAAGACATATATATGATAGTTTTTGTGCATGGTTGTAAAGAACCCTTGTAAACTTTGTGGGGGTCTATATTACTGTCAGAACCCTCCGAGAAGGGAAAGTTCAAAAAATATTTAACATTCATTCAGTTTCACCATGGCTTCTCGCAACAAGTTTCGGCGTGTTCCTACAGACCAGCTGGAAAGTGTTGTGAAGGAGATTTGTGCTGATGATGATAGTGGCGATGAAATAATGATTCCTGAATTGGATGAAGTTGATAGTGACAATAATACAGTAATAGACAATGATCCACAAGACAGTAATCATGAACATTTAGCTACCACGAGTGCGGTGCCTGACACGCCCATCTCATGGACGTACGGAGACATTGTACCAATAATAGTTCCATTTACTAGTAGTTCCGGGATCAAACTTGATATAGCACATAAAATGCACCCCTTTTCATGGATAAAATTTTTTCTGGATGATGACTTGGTAACTCACATTACAACTGAAACCAATCGCTATGCTCACCAGCACTTCAACACACATGAGTTAGCTCCTCACTCTCGAGAACTCAATTACAAATATGTCACATCAGATGAAATCTGGACATACTTAGGAATTGTGTTCATGACC